TGTATCTGGGAGCGGAGAGAGCGCGGATCTCACGGGAAGAAGCCAACCTTCACCTCATGCTGCCCGGCGCCCCTCTTTTCTGCACCCTTCCTGAGCACACCGCACCAGCTCTGCACAGCTCCCCGAGCCCTGGGCAGCCCCCAGCTCCCCGTCCATCACACACAGCTCCCCCATGGAGAACTCCTACCCGCGGCACCATCCCCAGCACCACCAGTGACTGCAGACCTGGGCTGCGGCACGCACCAGCATCTCCTCCAGGTGACATTTGGCTGGGTCTGGCCCCCGAGCCATCCAGCCTCTCAGACAGCTAATGTGTGTGTTTTTGAATTATTAAATGTATTCGGGAGCCCTGACAAGGTAGATATACAGCGATGATGACAAAAAGCACTTCTAAAAGAGCTGCAGCAGCCGGGAGGCACCGCTGAGCTGCCTCTCACTGATCACGCCCCACAGAGCCCTTTTGTGGACATCAGCTCAGGCCCTCTGCCATCAACCAGGGCTACTTCTCAGAAAGGAGAGGGAGTTCTCTCTGAGTTTTTCAGTCGCCAAGGCAAGAGCTTAACCTCCAGCTTCGGAAGGAAGTCGCCCGCCTGCTGGGGAGTGCCCTGGGATGCTCCCGCGGGATGCGCCCCGGGTGGGACTCAAACAGCAGGAACCTCTCCCCTGCAGCGCTCAACTCCTCCAAGCGGGCTCAGCAGAGCTGGACAACATCTCTGTAAGCAAAGATTCAGCTCCTGCACATTGGCATGGCAGCGTGAGGCCGGCCCTGCAGCGCGGTCCCATCCTGCCCGCTTGCAGGGAGCAACCTGAGCGGCCGGAGCTGGGAGGCGGGGAGCATCCCTCTCCTTAATCACAATCAGAGGGCATGGGGGTGGGAAGCATGGCTGGTCTTTGTGTACCCCAGCTACATCCCAAAGGAGCAGCGTCTGTGGGGCCGCAGTCGGGGTTTTGGTGCAGCACTGAGCAAAGCACCCTTCAGCCACGCACACGAGCACCATCACTACATCCCTGTGCTGCTTCTCCTTCCTTGTTGAAAAGTACCGATGATAAGCTAAAAATTCCTTTTCTCATTTTCAACTGCGATCCCAAAACGCCACCCGTGAGACAAAAGCACTCTTCCAAAAATCCCGCCGCGCTGCTCCTGCTGGCACCACGGACCCGGGCATCACACCAAGGTGTGCCAGGCTGGCCACTCGATATCCAAACACTGAGTCTCCAGACGGAGGTTACACTGAATCAGTTCTGATAAGCAACTGATCATGGCAAAATGATGCCTCCTACCCTGCAGCCACAGCCCAAAAAATGTCATGCTGCTGCTTCCTTACACTATTTTCCTGTCATTTGCTCACAGGCACACAAAAAGTTATTTAAAAACAAACAAGCAAACAAACAAACAAAAAAAAAACCAACAACTTCAAAACCGAGCAGAATTTGTGATTCCCTCATTTAGGGTGTATTAATTTGTAATCGCTGTTATTCTAATGCAGGACAAGCCTTAATCAAACTAATGGCGAAATTAAAAGCAAGTCTTTAAATCCTTTAAACTGACTTAGCCGAGCGCAGCGGTGTCTGTGCTGGAAGGATTTTCTGTGCTGCAGGAGAGGCCCATCAGCCCAATTCGGGCACTCTAATGCTGCTCCCCCCCACGCAGCACTCAAACACACACAGAGTGGGCATCTATAGCAGATGCTACAAAACTTAGGTAAAATGCAAGACTTAAAATAGCAGAGGCAAGAACTGAGCCCGATCGGGAAGATGTGGGCTTTGATTAACAGTTCAAAAACCGAAATATGCCAAACGTGACAGACCGAGCGAATTCCCAGCGCCGCAATTGCTGCAAATCTGCTTCGAAACCCACCCTGCAAATCCAGCAGCAGCGATGGCCGCGCTCAGCGATCACAAGCGTGGCACACACTGAGCTCACGGCTGATGCCTGCACCGTGGAAGCCAAACTATGCCGAAAATTTTAGGAAAGTTCATTTTATTTTAGCAACTGCCCTAACAACAACAACAACAACAACACAAACAGCAAACCTCGCTTCCTTCTATGGGGCGAGCGCTGCTCAGCTGAAGTCGCAGGTATTAAATCGCTTAACGAACGCCATATAAATCTGAGCTAACTCCAGGGGAGCTTTCTCCAAAATCAGTGCAGCCCTCAGCAGCTCCCCTGGTCAGGTCAGAGTCCCTCAGCCAGCATGGCTGAACTGTTTTAGTGCTCTCTGCTGAACACCTGCAAACATCAAACGAAAACTCCTGGTCCTTTGCTGGGTTGACAAAAGCCTTTCATGTGAAAAATGCTCCATGGGAATGTCACGGCTGTGGCTCAGGTTACATTCCTTTCTCCCGCGCAGCCTTCACCATTTCTCAACATGGTAAGAAGCCATATTTGTGAAATTAAAGATTAAAAGGAAACGTGGCTTTATTTCCATTCACACGTTACAAATCACAATGGAGCATCATATACGAGACGTGTAAAAAAGCCATCAGGATGACTTTAAGCATGAAATACTACCACGCTTCCTAAACTACACTTAGTTTCACTTCGTTGCTTGGGATTACTTTTCTTTGGGGCCTTTTCTTATTTTCTAGTAAGAGAAGTTTCAGCTCCACGCAGAGGAACGACACCCGTGGTTCCCCCTCGCACCAAACCGTGGATGTTGGCAGAGGAACAGCAGCTTCCCCGCTACGGGAAGCTGAGGCTGCAGGAGGGCATCAGCCCAGCAGGAAGGACGCGCTGCACGCCGGCTGCTGGACCTCGGCGTTAGCAGGACGCAGATCCAGCACAACAACCTGCAAGCACGCACTGTGAAGCTCCCTTCAAAGCTTCCCCGCAGCTCCACAAAAGGCTGCCGGGTGTCCGCACGCAACCCCGCATTTCCCAAGCGCTGCTCGCTGCAGGAGGCGGTCAGAGCACTTCCCAGCAGTGAGCCGTGCACCCAGACAGCTGCCAGCACAGCACACAGCCCTGCGGCCGCAGCCAGCGCCCATGCAGACGTGCATTCTCACAACTTTTGGGACACCGCTGCTCGCTCGCTACACCTCTCCGCATCTCACACCAAGCAGCAGAGGTTTGGGAAGTAAATCCAAGCCGATCTTCCCTTCCGAGAGCGTACCCTGCGCTGCACATCTTTGTGCAAGCAGTGTGCCAACGCACAGAATGTGTCTGTACTGAGCCATCGCCCTGTGCCACCAGGCTGCTTGTGCGCACGCACAGCAGGATGCTGTGGGAGATCCCAGGTGCTGCCCGGGATGGGCCCTACCTTAACCTTACCCACCTAACACATCATTTGTACCTGCTAAAGGATGTGCCAAGGTTACCTGAATGTTTTCAGGCTCAGAGACAACAAAGCAGCAGCAGCCCTCTGCTTCCCTCACTGCTCAGATTCGCTCTGCTGTGTTATTTCTGATCGCAATGCCCTCCCAGATGAGGTTTGCGGTGCATTTATTCAATAGAGCTGCCCAGTTAATTGCTGGTAGACCAAGTGTCGTCGCTGCACTGGCCGCTACCTACGTAAGCACGGCAAATTGATTCGTCTGGCACAAATACTTTTTGCTTCCCTCCAACGGAAACAAATAAAGGGAATATTATGTATTTGCTTAAATCGGGTATTTAAACTACGTTTAAATTCAGAGAGTGACAAAAAAATGGGATTAAAACGTTCAGCCTGTGTAACATGAGACAAAACGCGTTTGGAAAGTTACTCAGACCTAACAATGTAATTCTCAAAATCACTACACTCGTAACAGAACCAAATCTGCAAAAATAAAGGATGGCATTTTGCAAGTCTGAGCAGAATAAAACGCGTAGAACGAATCCTTAATAATTGCAGGCGGCACTCGGTGCAGCATCCTACAAACGCACGCCGCAGACTCCTGTCAAATTTCAAAGTCTTTCTTCGTAAATAAAAAGTTAATTAACATCTCGGCGCCTCTCCTGACAACGGTTCTGAGCAGCGCACCGAAGAGGTTCCTTTAACTGAGCGCCAACTGCCAACGCCAGGCACGGAGCTGCACACAGTGACGTGTTCCTATCTGGGTACCCACGGGCGCCTTGCAGCGGGTCTCATCCAAACGCACCATCTGATGAGAGCAGCTCCGCTCCACCCGGCTCCGAGCCGCTCCGTGCGGCCGTCCTGCAGCTCCCAGCAGGGCCGGGGGCTGCGTCCTGCACCGAGCGCTGCGCGCACCTCGCCCAGCTCCACAGCACAGCCAGGAGATTCCCAGCGCCTCGGCGCCTTCGCTAGCTTTACCTCTCATTCCTCAGGCGTTTAAAAGCCTCTGCGTAAAGCTACACTTGCCAGACAATTATTGCACACATATGTTCCGCCGCAACCAACTCCGCTATTTCTTTTGTCATCCAGCAGGACTCCTGCTTTACAGAAGGCAGAAGTTGCCCACAGAGCCCGGCTGCAGCCAAACAACCGCACGCACAAACAAACGCCGGGCAGCGTCAGGGGCTCGCCAGAAGCGGGCGGACATTTGGAAAGAAAACGCCTTACTTTCCATCTTTCCATTCAGCAAGAAAAAAAAAAATCACCCTTTTCCAATGGCGAGGAGCACCGCCGCACCTTGAGAGCTCGGTGCCGGGGCTGCGTGCTCCATTCATTATTTAATCCCGGCAGCCTTCCTTATTTACCAAATTAATTCCCGTGCGAGATGCTTTGATTCTCGCTTCTCAAGTATAAAGTCAAGTGTAAAAGTATAAAAGCCCTCGAGGCTAAATTAAAAAAAATAATAACAAAAAACTTAAACTACCCTCACCTTGAACAACGACACAGAGCAGGGATTTAAAAAAAAATAAATCATAAATCAGTGCAAATGCTGCGAAAACGCCTTGTGGAAATAGCAATCATAATACTAAGAGTAACAGTAGGAAGAATTCCACTCCGTTCATAATGGATGTGCGCCCCAGAAGAGATTACCACAACCACAACAAAGGTAATGCCTATGGATAAATAACAGAGCATCGCAGCCGCGCGCTGAACAAAGCGGGTACGTACTTGAGCCAGTAAAATGTCCACTCGCCAAGGAAGTTGGTCCATTTTTGCCACTGCTCACGGAAAAAAAAAACATATAAAAAAAAAAAAAAAAAAAAACGAAAAAAAAGCAACACAGAGACGTTACTACGGGAAAAGCACTGTCAGCCAAAGTTCCTCCGCTGCAAACTCTGCCCAGCCCTGGGGACAGCCCCACACGGAGCCCCCGGCTCCGCACCCCCAGCAGCACCCCGGGAAACGCAGCGCAGCCCCGCGCTCGCATCGCTCCCCCCGATCCTCGCTGGTTGAGGAAGGCGAAAAAAAGTTTGTTGGGCAAAACCTTGGCCATAAAGGTAGCAGCGTCCATCCGCAGCCCGCTTTAGGGTTCTCCTGTCATCCGTGTGCCCAGATAATGACCGTGCAAAGTGCCACCTGCCCTAAATCCTCATTCCGTCTCTAAGAGGAGCTCAGTCTGAGCGCGCCGCTCCCTCTCCCTCTCTCTCTCACCCTCTCTCTCGCTTGCATTTATTTCGACCCTAATTGGTTTCTCTCTTCCTCGACGTGTCTGGTGGGTAACACGCACCTTCCCTGAGTCAGAGCCTGCAAAAAGCCAGGGAACAAATGGAAAAAGTGCACCGAGCGACGAGGGGGCTGCCGGGCTGCCTGAGGCTGCGCTTCCCGGCCCAACTTCCCAAAGCCATTCCTCCGGAGCGCAGCGCGGAGCGGCGGCCGCAGCCCCGGCCGGGAGGAGCCGCGCTCAGCTCAGCGCCACGCGCGCATCCCGCGGCCAACCCGCGGCCCCTGCGGGAAGGGGCGAGAGCTGGAAGGGAGGGACGGGCGGTGGGGGAAGGAAGA